ATTATTAAAATTAACATAATTTTTTTAAACTGTTTTTAGTTTAAAAATTGTAAATATTAAAGATGTGTTAATATATCTTCTGGGTTTATCCACAAGAACTCTTTTACACGGTTTCAGGGACAGACAAGAAAAAAGGTAGCAACTTTGGTGCTCAAGAGAATTGGGATCGACGACGATGGAATACCAAGAAAGCTTAAGTAAAAGAAAGTTAGTTAGATTTCCAAGGATCTTGTTATTATTTTTCTGTCTGTATACTGGAAAACAACTTGAAAACATTAATCTGATTTCTAATCTTTATTTTGTTTTTTAATCAAATTTATGTGGGTTTTTTTTCTTTTTTCTAAAAAAAATATCTCTAACAGCTATTCAACAGCTGTGTTAAAATAGAAAAAATGTGAAGAGGTTGAAAAATCTATAAATATAAAGAGAAATTATTATTTTAATACTTTGCACCAATAAGATATATTGATAGTGAATAGTTAGAAGAGAGAAATAATATTTTATTAAATTTATTGAATATTTTAACAGTATAGTTAATGATATAATTGTTAAAATAAAATAGCTGTTGGAGTTTGATGTGATTTTTTATATATATTTTGACTTTTAATACTATTTTTTATTTTTTTAGCATAGTTGTTGGAGATACTCTAAAAGATACATAGATAGATGCAGAAAAGAACCCACATGAGAGCTTTCAGTACCGAATTTGTGATTGGAATCATATTCTTATAATTAAAAGATCTGCAACAATTAAATCATCAAATTGGAGTCGGCCTCTAACAACAAAAAAATAGTAGTTATAGGACAAACATGGGTCCGTAGAGTACTAAGTTAAATTTATAGGATCAAAAATCGGCTAACTATTTAAAAGAGTTACAGTAAGTTGTTAGTTATTAAGAATCAGCGAGACTGACCCTAGTGCTTAGCGGCACAAGCTAAAGGGCATCAACTCATTGAACAAAAAGTGTTTATGTCATCCCTAGTGAAGTGTGCGGATTTGTTGTTCGATAATATCATTTCAACATTGTTATAAACAACAAATAACTAATGGAGGACACATTTTTAACTGTTTTCTCCCAAGAGAACAAAAACCTTAAAAATAACCCTGAGAATCAGATAAACTTCGATGCCTGGGATCAACACCATTTAGTAGATGTGCCAAATTCAAAACTTTCTGAGACCACTTGTATGCGTTATTGATTAGGCCATCAAAATTTTGATCCTTCTTGTAGCCAAAAACTGTCTTTTGTAGGTAAGATCTCCATAATAGAAAAACCTCAACCTTAATTACCAGCTCAACTCAATTGGTAAAAAAAATTTAGGCTTGAAAGTTCTTTAGCTTAGGTATCAGTTCATGTCGGGCCACTAGAAATTTTGGAGACTTTTATCTTCAGCGTCTCATGAGATTAATGAGGTGTGCATAAACCAGCCCAGATGCCAACGCCTTACCAATTCCATTTGTCCTATAGTAATTGTTTACATTTTTATTTTTATTTGTCTTAAAATAAGTGTCTATTATTAAAATTAGATAACTAAATATTTAAATCTACCCTTAATCAATATATAAATATTTAAAAGTTGATAAGATAAATAAATTAGAGAATTTTTGTGTGTGTGTGTGTTTGTGTGTGTGTGTATATATATATATATATATATATATAGGTGGAGGTTCAAATGAGAACACCTCCATTTTACGAGAACGCGAGAACACCCTTATCACATGTGATAATACGCGTGAGGGGACCCTATGATCTGCGGACGACGTGTTCTACGATTTAGTTTGCGCCAAAGGTTGTCTGCGTCTATGATTTAGTATCAAATGTGATGGTCTTGATGGATTATAGTATCATATCAACAACACCCTTATCACATGTGATAATACATGTGAGGGGGCTTAGTGGTGTAAGGGGCGACTTGGCCCGCAACCAAGATTGCATCGAAAATCGCCCACATCTCGGATTTAGTATCACATGTGTGTCATATATGATGGAATAATAGTATCACATGTGATTGTTTATAATAAAAGAATGTTCTTGCATTCTCGTGAAATGAAGGTGTTCTCGTTTGAACCTTTCCACATATATATATATATATATATATATATATATATATATATATATATATATATATA